AGCCAAAAGCTTGCTGAGAAGACTTAGTTACTCCACCAAGTCCAGTGACAGACCCTAAAATGATTTCATGATTCCTTGCTGACAAACTTAGAAAAGACACCTTCCCCATCCAGAACAATCCACAAAACAGTAATTAAAAAGGTTTTGATTCAGTTTTGTTCACACTTGCATCCAACAGGTTCTTTTTAATGCTACCTCCTATGACATCATGGGAGCAGAAAAGGCAACTCTCCATAATCCCATTATACTTCAAAGACCACCAGCGGATCAAGTAGGAGTTCCTTCTGAAGGAAGGCACGAGGCTCCAGGGAAAGAACTTTAAGGGCAGGCATGAACACTGTTTAGGCTTCTGCTACAGTCAACTGAATAGAGATGGGTATTTCTAGAGGCAGTAAGATACGTGTTTAAAATAGGATCTGAGGCTTCCTCACCTGAAATTACACAAATGTTTATCTCACCTACTATTTACCTGTCAAACTGAATATACTGCTGGGCTAAGGATGGTGCATCTCACTGAAATGTAGTAGCAATAAAGTTTTGAGCTTAATCTCTCTGCTTTTTCCTGCAGTCAAACAAGAACATCATTCTCAAGCATTTATTTGAATAAGGAAAGAAGCATATTAAGGAGGCATTCCTGGCTCAAACCATCTACACTGGGCTGCCTGGATAGCTCCCAAACTAAGCTCTGCATTCAAGACAGTGGAAACATGAGCAAGGTGAATCCCAGACAATGCACAGCATCACAAGCATACATTTAGATTTAGCTGAGCAGATGCTGAATGTTTTGATTTCACTTACATAACTCTAATTGTACAAATAATCCAATTTTGACTATTTTAAGTACTAACAGTGTTAATTTAATTTGACCTTTACATTGGAAGGAGGTGCTGGCACATCTAGAAGTCCAGAGGATGAGTCTATACGCATCTGGAACAAAATCAAGCAGAAAGTCTGCAGAAAATAGAAGACAACTGAGTGTATGGAATGACCGGGGCTGGCAGCCACAGAGTCATGCCCATCAGTTATTGTTAGAACAAACCTTGTGCTTTTCCCATTCAGTCCAATTGCAATGACCTCACCTGGTCAGATTACTCCTTTACAATGGTGAAGTCAGTCATGTTTTAAGTCAGACTTCTGTACTTAGGGAATACTGAGTTGTAACACGATTTCAAGCACAGCTCCATCAAACAGAAGCAATAACCAACAGGCAGTTTTAGTAGCAGTAATTCGGGGCATGGCTCCACCTGCCATTCCTGTATACACACCTGAGCTGGTTTGTGTAACGCCAGCCAGCAACACAGCCTTGTCCACTCACTTGCAGATGTACTACCCTTTTTGGGTAGGTATTGCAGCCTTGTATGAATATCAAGCTGCTGCAGTTGTCATGATCAGTGCTTTCCAACAACTTTCAGTGCAGAGGAATGTTTCAGACTGCAACACAAAAGCATTCTAATAGGCAGATACCCCTTGCTGACTATCCACTCCCAGCAACCAGTACATGCTGGGCTGATTTCCTGGACCTTCCTGAGGCAATTGCCAGTTGCATACCTACCTGATACAAGGCCTTAATGGCAACAGGATGTTTCTCTGCTCCTGTTTCCGCCTGCACTATTTCACCCTGACCCAAAACACTTGAATTAATGCATCTCAACTGAGGAAATGTTTTTTTAAATACTCATTTGAATTTAAATAATTCTATTTGACTTAATTAACTTGCCTATTGCCTATGTAAAGTAGAGCAGCTTTAATTACCTTCCTTTCACAGAGAAAGTGAGACTCGCTAACATTCGGTAACTGCCTTCTGCAGTCATTTATATCTCAGTAAAACATTACTAAGGTGATCTCTTAGAATTCTACTTCTGGGGTGCGCTGTCTTTGCTTAAGACAAAAGAAAAAGAGGAGTATATCTTATAACCACTGAAGAGGTCAGTACAACGATGCACTCTTGCACAACGCATGTTAGGAACTATTTGCAGACTTTATAATCAATTGATGTTTTGCTTCCTGACCTCAAGATTCCAGGTTACCCGTAAGTGCTTGTGCTGCACGTACCCTGAAGGAACTTGTTTGGTGCGATCTCCTCACACTGAGAACCTGCCTCCCAGTAACATCTCCTCGATAAAGCTGTATTGGAGCTTAAAAACTCTGTTTTATTAGTCAGAAGGGTTTGCTAAGGATTTGCTGTCAGCCTGGACTTCCCCAGGAAGTTGATGCATTGCTGCTCTTCAGCCCTTCACATTAACTATCAGCCAACAGTACAGATCGCTGGTCTGTTACTTCTGTCCAAGACTTATATCCAAAATAAGATCTGAATTAGCACGTCTCTAACCATGCCTTGAATGGCAAAAGTGGGCACAAAGTAAATAAATGTAAATTCAAAAAAATGTTATGTACTTTAAACATTTTTTGTATATTAAACAGAAGTCACATTTTCTGTTTTAAAGGTGTCTCTGTTCAACTGCATGTGCAACATTAAAGTACGACAAAGAGAGAGCTTAGTTTTCCATTTAAGAATAAAGGTGCTTGGAAACATGCCTACACAAACCTGCCCACTGCTTCTCCACTAATTCAAGGTGGCTTTCCCATAAGCATATCTGGTTTTCCATGTCCAACTGCAATTTGCATAAACTCTTCCCAGAAAAGAAACAGTTGCCTAATCTGCATTAATGGCTATTCTGGCAACAAGAGATGATGGAGAAATTCTTGATTCTGTCTAGCATAAGAGGCATTTACATCAATAAGCATCTCGGCACAAGTTTATCTAAATGCAGTCTGCTCAGCATGCTTGCAGAATACAGCTGGTCTTGGTATCCCAAGTAAAATCAAGGTGTACCCAATGAGGTTTATTTCTTTTGAGAGAGATAGACATGAACAATGCCCTGATATCCAAAGATGCTATTCTAAAAGGACAGAATATCTGTTCTTGCTGCTAGTCCCTCTCCTTCTGCAGCTCTGTTTTTGTTCCAATCCTAACACCACACATCAGCTGAGCCATCTAAGTCCTGTCTGTCTAGCAGCAGAATTAGCAGACACATAAGTTCAGCAGCCATGCTCACAATAAGTGGTACAACATAATTCGCATGTCCTTAATATGCAACCAGAAAAGACAGGCACTCAGGCATTACAAAGCCTACCCTATATCCAGATGGGTTGCTTAACTTTCCACAACCTCCATTTTTTCAGCAGTAACATAGAGATAATAAACCTGCCATGTTTGACAGCAAGGCTATGAAGCTTCATTAATTTAAATGATGAGAAAGCCTACTGAGCTCCATACAGAAAAAGTGTTATTTAAGTAAGGTTTTTATTCCAAAGGAGCAACAAAAAAAGATTCCATTTCTGTTATTGTCTACATCAATTTGCATACAACTGTCCAGCTCCCCAAGAGGTGCACTCTTCCTTTTTCTGCTAAGGACTTCTGTGTGTTACATAAGAAGAACATTTACTCTAACAGAAAGATGTCTCAACCAGTGAAGATCTTATGATCATTGGATTTTTAATAGCATTTTTAAATTACACAGATTACTGTTCTTTACCTAAGTTACATGTGAAGTATTTCAACCAATATAGAGAGAGAAGACTGCATTCTAATCACTTATGCACTCGTAGTTGCTGAATTAGAATGGTTCTTAACTCTGTTTTCATGGACATAGAAACAGAAACTAATGGAACGCATTACTTTCATTTGTCTCACTGTAACTACCAGCCTAAAGATGGTGTTGCTAGATTGCAGCTAATCTATACTGTTCTTTATTTAAATTTCATCTATTCAAAAATAAAATCGTGAAAAGAAACAAAAGAGATGCTGCAGCCTTAAGTAATACAGGCTGGAGCAGAATCCAGATGTCCTCTTTTAGCTTTTCAGAGAACTCCAAGGTGCAGTAGCTTCCCCTCAGAGCTTCCATATACTGCTGTCTAATTCAGTGATGCTTCCCTTGGTTACAAATGCTGAGACGTATGTCTGAATAAGCATAACCATGACTGCCTTTTTACCCTAGGCTGCGGTCACTGTTCAATTAATGGAGGTCAAATGTAACCTATTGAGTACAGATCTGACTAAGAAACTGACAGGAATAACAGACATCTTCTCCCCCCTCCTGTGATCGCCACCTGATTGGAGGAAAACTTAAATGCTACAGCTGGTTCTGAAAGCCTAGGACTGGAAAAAGTAACCAGCCAGAGCACTAAGATTCTTCTCCCATCTTATGGGCTATGTCACGTAAGAGTCTGAGCAGTAGCAGCCTGCATGGTGCTTCATGTGTCATAGCCAGGTATGCAGTGCAGAGAGCAATGAAGAACAACTGAAGTAATTCAGACGGCCCACAACAATTGTCTAAGGCGAAACATGAGGGTCTCCACACCCTGAACAGGTGAGGATCTGAAAGATTTGACAGTAGAAAGCCACCGCAAGCCCACTCCGACTTATGTCACAAGTTCTGTAGTGAACATCTTATGCACAGACAGTGTCTGGAGTCTCACATAAACACTTTTTATATGAAGCACTCTACCATCTTTAAAAAGCTTCACACCTTCTGCAAGTCAGCAGCGCTGGGACCACAATGACCCTCTGCATCGCAATGGCAGGCTCAAAAAGTACCCCAGCCCTGCAGGCATGTGAGCCCAGGCTGAACCGGGCCATGCACAGCCTCATCCAGTGGGCAGCAACTTTCTTTTGTGCACCTTTTAAAATATAAAGTTGTTTAGTCTAAATTAGGTACAAAATCTTTCTAATAACCTCCTTCCTGATGTGCTACACTTCCTTTCTCCAGACTCAGAATTGCCACTTACAAACAACAGTAGGAACCAAACTATTTGTTAATCACTTTCCACAGCTGGCAAAAAGACTTGCTATTATCTTAGCCTCTATTATCTATACTGCTTGCTGCCTAAGAGCATAAAATAATATTTCCTAATACTAATATTTTGCTTGTCCGAGCAAACTATCTTTTATGAGTCAGCACATTTGCAAAATGAAATGAAGAGAAAACCACTTGAAGTACCTTGCCATGTAGTTTGTGGACATCATATCTTATCTGAGCAAACTCACGGAGTCCAAAAGATCCTCCAACAATGTAGAGCTGAAAAACAGCACAATGAAAGCATGTGTTAGGACCATCACAGAAAAAAGAATCATAGAACCACCAAGATTGGAAAAGATCTCCAAGATCATCCAGTCCAACCATCACCAACATTTCCTGCTGAACCACGTCCCTCGGTACAACAACTAAACATTTACATGTTGTGAAGAACACTCCACATACTGACACAGAAATATAGAGAGCAAAGTTTTGTGGTCTGGCAACTGGATATATCACAGAGCTACAGCTTCAAAAGGTTGGTAAGAAAATCCTTTGAGAGGCCTACCACAAATGGGACAGCCCCATATTTGTAGCTCAAGGCATTAATGCTGTTCTTGTGGATAGATACTGATTCATCTATACATACAATAGAAAAGGAAGTATTAATATCAACGAAAAAATAATGCTTTCTTTATGTATGAATATTCTGGTAAGAACAAGTAACAGGAAACAGAAAATAAAAGCATTCAAAATAGTTTAAAAGAGCCTGAAAATTATTTAAGATTTATTCAGCCGTATCTGGTATGTCAGCTGATGATATGCTATCTTCACACCATATGCTGAAAGTCTCAAGGAACAGACAGTAAATGAATCTTAATATGGTTGACATCTCAGCAAAAAAAAATCCATTAGCTGATATTCTTTAAGTTCTAATGAGAATTATGTTAATTAACATCTTATGTGTTAATTTAACAAATGTCATGTCCTAAAGAAAGAAATCAGCAGTACTACAGTCAAGTTTATAGTTACAAACAGCGCTTTATGGTTGTGATGTCAGAGTGGCTGTGGTGGAGCCAAAGCAGATGCACTGGTGTATAGCAGGTTCAACAAGGGAGAAAGCAGAAATCCTTGCAGCATCACTTCAAAATTAGCCTGTCTGACAACAAAATTGCATGAAGTATATTGTTATGAGATGTAATATGAACAAAGGCACGTTCAACTATAAAGCAAATGTTTGGGGACTTTTTTAGCTTAGATCATCTAAAACTCTGTAAAGTAGCTAGTGGAAGTGAGGCAGACAGCTGCTGCATGAAATAAATCATGTGCTGCTCTCATTTGGCCTCACCACACTGTTTCACTTGTTTGACAGCAGCCATCTATTATACATTAATTTCATGTTTGCAGCTATACACATGATAAAGAAGTTGATACACACACACTTCTCTTCCTTAAGACAAGTTTTGGCCTGAAACTGTAACCTTATTCACAACATCTTTATGCTGTTCCTGGGGTAAAAAACTTGCATTTCGGTTTCCTTTTGCTTTTCATACAGCATAAGCAGAACAGCCAGCCTGGTAAGCTGGACACGTCGCTTAGAGCCATTATCAATACGAATGCCTTACACTTCCAGTACTGTGATGGTCAGTTTCTCTTCCTCCAGATCTTCTCCAACCTTGGTGATTGTATGATTCTATGCCACAGCAGCTACGGGCAGCTCTTAAGTTAATTATATATATATTTAACTGCATTCAAAAGTCAGTAAAAGAAGAAATGACAGGAAAGTATCAATGAGTTTCTGCAACTGTAATAGCATTAAAGGTAACAAAGTACCTGGAGACAGACAATGTGTTGAGTGAAGTACTGGCCTTGGCTCAAGTACTACTGTTCTCTTTTGTACTATGAGGGAAGATGTCCTCACCTTGTTCATATAATTGTATTTAAAGGGAACAGTACAGACATACAAACAATGATAGATCTAGATTTAGCAGGCAAAATAATCAGAAGTGGAGTAAGACATTACAAATTTCAGCAATGTTCTTAGCTTGTTGGCTTTGCATACTCCATAACTCTCACTCACGTTTCTAGTTTTCCAATTTATAAAATGGAGATAATCTCTACGTTCCTTGCAAGATAAAAAAGTATTACAATGAATTAAATTGCTCAGTGTAAGTCAAGGGCAAAGCAAAGTCCAGTATGTTCCAACAAATGCCAGCCAGGCCCAGACAAAAGAGACGCAGGGGAAATCCTAGCAGAAGCTATTCAGGATACCATATAAATAGAACAATCAGGTTGGCAACATTTTCATGAGGTCAGATGCAACTTGACGCTCCACTTAAAGTGAAAACTGGGAAGGTAACTCCAAACAAAAAGAAAATTAAGTACATTTTCCTCCATCCTGATTTGATAATCATACATATGCTTAAATCATAAAATGTAAATGCATGAGCAACTGAAGATTACCCAAGTCGGAAAGTTGAGATATAACGGCATTCTGCAACAGAACCGGTAGTTTTACATGCTTCAGATACAGAGCACAAACTTTATTATGTAGTGAACACAACCTGCTTAATTACTTGAATGCAGTCAGCAGAGTGATGAAATGCTGTGCTTTCTCCTTTCCTCCCAAAGTTTAGCTTAGGATGTAAAATCAGGAAACACGTTGGTGAAGCAGCACTCAGCACCCGTTAGGGTGAGCAGCTCAGCAGCACAGTGAGCTCAACCTCCCATCAAAGAACTCGTGCTGGATCATTTCTTTATGTTTCAGTGAGTACACAAAAAAAAAAACAAAAAACAACCCTACAACGTTGTAATGCAATTATGCATGCATGGAAGACTTGCGTGTTGCAAAACAAAATGAAAGATAGGATGTGACATAAGAGCACCATCTGTCACATAGACTCAGCAGACTCAATAAATGTCTTATGTAAAAAAATGACATAAAACTCTCTTTAATTCTTTTTAAAAATCTATTTGTTCACTTCTGCGTTGGGAAGTATGTTATGCAATTAGTTATAGATGGCATCAGGCTGATCACTTGAACTGTGTCTTAGGATGGATAACACTTGTGTTTGTCACCAACCACAGCGAGACGACGTTCACCGAGGACTCATAACAGCACAAGAATATACAGTTAAGAGCAGATCCCTACTTTTTTGGAGCCATTTTCAGTCTCTTGGGCTAAAACAATAACAGGAAACAATTTCTCCAGCAGCAGCGATTGGTGGTGTTATAAGCATCCCTGTTGCTAGAGAGACTCATCCCTGTTACAGCAGTGGCTGTGACAGGCAGATCACTAAGGTACATTACATTTGTTGCAGAGCCCTACATGAAACCACACTAATTAGCGCTGGCAACACATATTACGGTGTAAAGAAAGCAGGAAAATGTTATGATAAATATTGCTGGTGAAGGAATGTGGTAATTTTCAGCCTCTTCTTCAGGACTGCTGCTGCAAAACCCTCCAACTACTCATTGTGAGCTTCAAAACTAGAGCAGCTATGAATGATTTTTATTTTAGTTTGCAGTGATCACAGTCAAAAGGGTTTTGGGGTTTCCTTTCTAAAGAACTGTCATGTATGCAGTGTAGGGCTGGTGAAAGACAGCAATTTGGCAGCCCAGGGGACTGAAGTCTCCCATTTGTTTCCTAAATAAAGCAGCATTTTGCACTGCCAAGAAAATCAGCCGAGCCTCAAGCGCCCTCCTCTGCCAGCTCCCACTCAAAGGAGTTGCTTGCCAGTGCTGCGCAGGCTGCTGAGAGAGAACCGGAGCAGAATCCTCTTTGAAACTGACTGAGATTTCACCCTGCTCCCAGTGGGAGCGGAACCATGTCTGCTTTTCTTCTTGTCCGCAACCACTCTCAGCTCAGATCAGGGGAAAAACAAAAATACAAATCTCTTAATTTGATTCAAGAGCACAATCAAGTAAGGGAGCGCTCTGATTTACTGTATACATTAGAGCTTACAAACTGCACTACATCCAGAAACAGATTAAACACGCCAATAGATGGCTGCATCCTCACCTGGGGCAGCACCTGGCACACAGCAGAGGCAGTCACAACCAGCTGGTAACGCAGCCCTGTGCAGTGCTACGCAACCTGGAACTCCAGGCAGAGTACTGCACTTGGACAAGCACTGCCTTAACCTGCTCAAGGTAGAGTATGTTCAAAGCAGTCAGTCTGACAGTTGCAAATACGAGTGGCTACAGGCCACAATACACCAAAACCAGTCCACACACTTAGACTTACAGTCGTATGATTTGGAAGGGCTCCTTAAAGGCCATCCAGCCCAACCCCCCTGCAATGAACAGGGACACCCACAGTGAAATCAGGCTGCTCAGAGCCCATCCAGCCTGACCTTGAGTCTCCAGGGATGGGGCATCCACTGCCTCTCCGGACAACCTGTGCCAATGCTTCACCACCTTTACTGCAATAAACTTCTTCCTAATATCCAATCTAAATCTCCCTCTTTTAGTTTGAAACTGTTTCCCCTAATATTACCACAGCAGTCCCTGCTGAAGTCTGACTCCTTATTTCTTACAGCCCCCCTTTGGATACTGAAAGGCTGCTCTCAGGTCTCCCTGGAGCATTCTCTTTTCCAAGCTGCATAGCCCCAACTCTCTCAGCCTGTCACTTGCAATGCTACTATTCTGTGTCTTAGGAAGAAAAAAAACTGAAAACATTTGTTTATTAAAATGTCCATTTCATAACAGGTTGGAAAGAATGGCAAACACATTAAGTAGAAACCAACCTAAGAACAATGCAGAAGAGACAGCAAGCCATATGCTCCTCAGTGTGAGCAATTAGCAAAAAAGGGCATTTTCAGCCACAGCCCTGTCACTTTGCATTACACACATTGATGGCTTGGGCTGCTCAGATGACCCGGGAACTTCACTCAGCAGCTGCAGCTGTCTGAAAACCAGGTTTGCCATGGTGGCCAAGCTGCAGCTGCTGGGTTACCACCTTCTCTTTCTCCAGAAGCTCCTAAAAGCCAAGCTTTGGATTCCTTCTTGAAATTACCATCTGGGCACTCACGGGTTCAAAAAGTAGAAAGGAGCACCTACTTGTTTGTCTAATACTTATCTGGAAGATACTCCTCAAATATTAAGAATCAAAAAGAAAATTTGAAGGCACTGATCCAAAGGTGCGCTCAGAAATGGATGAGCTGACAGTTCTGCATATTTCACATCTCATTGTAAAACTCCACAAAGTAATGGATGTTAATGAAAATCCTGCCAATTCCCCAAGCCTGCATTCCCCCACCACTACCCTGAGTGATGCCAACAATGTTAACAATAGCACTGACATATCTAGAAGTAAAAAAAATGTTGATTGCAGCAATCCTTTTTCATACACTATCAAAAGTGAATTTAATAACATTTTACAGAGAGAGCAAGAGCCACAGCTTCCAGTTGAGCTGGAATTCAGCAGTGAAAGAAACTCATCCACAGACAGAAATTCACATCCTGATGGGTGGGAATGTGGGTTTTTGGAGCAGGTCGATAAGGCTGGGAGACCAGCGGTTCATTGCGTGGCCTGAGACACTGCTGGGCTTCTCTGTGGGTCTCCTGGGAGATGAACACATGGTCACAGCATTACCCAATGCCGTCTTGCTCCTCTGATGCCTGGGATGAAGTGTCTATCAAAGAAAACCTGCACTGCTCAAGGCAGCAATGTAGATGGCAATGTAGGACAGTCTGTGCACATGAACACTGGTGGAAATACATTTTAGGAAAACATTTACTCATAGAAAAAAAGATCTTTCACAGTTCCAGGCTGCCCTCATCTTCTCTTTTGGCAACACTGCACACAGTAGTTGAAACACCGAAGATCCAGAGAGAGGAAGAGACCTACAAGGAAAGCATTTGTGAACATGTAGTCATTACATGACAAGGGAAAAAAGAAGAAGGCAAAAGAAAAGGAAAGATGTGGAAATCCTCATCTACAGATATGAAGGATTTTGCAATGCTCTACAAGCTTGAAATCTGAAATAGCACATGTATAGAGCAATATGCTTAAACAGGTGTAAAACAGAAATCCCCAAATGAGCACAGACTGTGCGTCCTGCCTGTGAAGACACTGAGAAATTCATATTGATATGCTGACAGGAGAACTGGAACCACAGCTGCATGTGGCTTCTGCAACTTACAGGATATGAAAGACCCTCGTTTGGAATCAGCCAAAGGCTGAATCACAAACACAAGATTTGGAAAGTGTCCTGAGCATGCAATTTAATGATTTTTACCATGTTTTTTTAAAGTAGTGATGAAGCTCTCCTGGAATAGAACCAAGTACCCTGAAAATGCTTGTGTATGGTAGGCTTCATGTGATAAGGAGACATTTTACATTATGATACGAAAGAGATGCCAATGCAGCTGACAAAGACACTTAAGTCACCACAGCACAGCCCTCCACCCTAACAGTGAACTTCAGAGCTACATCATGCAGTCAGCCTGGCACCAACACAGCTGTCACCACCTCCACTTCAGCCCTCAGGCTGCCTGGCCAGCAGCACACAAGCTGGAAAGAGTGTGCCCAAACACTGCAACTGACACATCTTCCTGGCAAAGCTGTTGTCAGTTTAAGGTTTTAAGGATCAGCCAAGAAAATCCCTTTCAGACGAAAATATTCTAACAACTCCCAAATGAACACAGGGGAAATAAAAGGATCAAGAAGATAATTTACACTAAAAAGGAAGAAATATTTTTTATATATATTTGTGCATGTATGCTCGTAGCGAGAGCCTAACCTACCACTGAGTTACCATCTCTTTAACCTTGGAGTATTTTTAAAGAGTGCTATAGAGGCTTTTTATTCAAATATGCAGTGCAAGGAGGCAAGACATGAGATTCATTTCAATAATAATAATTACAATAAAAAAATATAGCGCTGATGAGGTCCGGTAGTATTGAAGAATAAACTTCTGTCTAGTGAAAAAATGTACAGCACGCAAGCTTCTAACAGGACCTTGTATGTCAGTATTATCACCAAATTCAGCAGAACTTGAAGGTCACAAAGGCACACTTTTGCAGTTCTGGACACACATTCAGTGCCACTGGTGCTGCAGTTGATCTTTTAGCAAAACTGTGTTCAGCTCCTGAGGTGCTTTCAGAGTTCAATGTTCAGCTGGGGAGCTGCCATGAGCCACATGAATTGTCCTTTTCCTTCCTCGTTAGGTAGTCTTTGGGCAGCAGCACGATGACAATCACAGGGGAGAATAATTTTAAGGCAGGGGAGACGTGAAACCCCAGAAAGAAAGAAAGCAGAGCGTTCCTCTGCTTAACACTGACTCCGGAGGAAGGATCTCTGAAGTAAAGAAAGGGGAATGAAATTCTGGAGTGCAAAGTCAAAAATTAATTAATTAATTAAAAAAAAAAAAGACAACAACAACAACAAAAAAAAAAACAGTCACCCCAAAACTTCTGCTATAGACTGATGAGAAATCGTGCAAAAGCATCAGAAATGCTGAAGGGCTGCCATGGTCTGGGACTCACAGCCGTGCTGGCAGCTGCTTCTTTAATCCCTTCCTAAAGAGTACCACGAACTTCCCATCCTAAGGAAGAGTCCCTTCTCCCTCAGCAGCCGATCCGACGTGTGTGGACTTCAGCGCTTCTTTCACAAGCCACAAAAGCATCGCCACCCACAACGTATCAACAGCCGTGCAGAACTTCTCAGGACAAGCTGACCGGGTGCCTGCAGTAACCCCAGCAGCACAACGCCTGCTGCATCTTTTATGTGCCGGGCCTTCCCGAGTTTACAGGAGCTGCTAAACTCGTCCCGCTGAGGGCTCGGAGGAGTCCATCTCTTCACCCTGCATCTTTCTGTCTCTCAGAACGACGTTTCCCTTTTTCCCCACAGTATTATGACCTGCGTGCACCTTGCAGGACCCACCAAGGCACCTTGTCCTTTTGGAAGACTGGTCGCTCGCAAGCTTTATTGCACTTTTTCGACCCCACAAGAGAAGCAGCACATCCGCGCCGTGCTTCCCGCAACGCCTCATCACGCCCCCAGCTGCGCCTCCCCACCGAATCGGACTCGTTCGTTACCGGAAAGCTGCGGCCACGGCGTCCATAACGTATCCGCACAGCGCTTTTCCCCGCCCCGCCGCACCTCCCGTACCTTAACCCTCTCCCTGACCGCCCCGCTCACCAGCAGCGGCACGCCGAAGGTCATCGTGCGGCCCCGCCACAGCTTGCGGAGCCGCTCCATGAGGCTCCACCGTCGGCCCGCTGCTGCCGCTTCCGGCGCCGGGCCGCCCGCCACACCGCTCCCTCCGCCGGCGCAGCCCACACACGGCGTTCCGCTGCGCTCCGCGAGGCCGGCTCGTAGGGCGGGCCAACTGTTGCCTAGCGTCGTATAAATGTACTGCGTCGTTATATTAAGGCATCACGCTCATGAGTGGCGGTTCGCTCCGTATTCCAGCAAAGCAGAATTGCTGCGGTGCGGCTGTCATGGTGAGATCAAAGTGCCGTCCGCAGAACTGCAGCGATCCACACCTGCCCTGACATACAGTTAGTGCTCTCTGAATGCATACAGGGGAAGGAGCAGGGACTTAGCCTTCACGAGAGAGAGCTTTGAAGCCACAGGAATGAGAAAGCAAGAAATTATTATGCACTGGAACAGGTTGCCCAGGGAGGCAGTGGATGCCCCATCCCTGCAGGCATTCAAGGCCAGGCTGGATGTGGCTCTGGGCAGCCTGGTCTGCTGGTTGGCAACCATGCACGTAGCAGGGGGGTTGAAACCACATGATCATTGTGGCCCTTTTCAACCCAGGCCATTCTGTGATTCTGTGAAAAGACTTTGTGTCTAAACTGAGATCAGGGACATTTAGAGAAAGCAAGAGGTACTGAGGGATCAGGAGCTTCTACAGCTGGGACACCCCAGCAGGGCAGGACCAGAGCAGCAGGAATCAGTGCCGTTCAGGGACAATAAAGCACTGAGATCACTGCTGCAAAGGAACACACAGCATCTGCCCTCCCCAGGGCAGCATGTAGGCTTTGTTAATATTCACTTGGTGGATAACTGCTGCGTTGCCAGCTGAATCTTCACTTACAACAAAAGACAGTCAGCTCAGTGCTGGCAAGGTACACCTGTAGCCCCCAGTAGCTTCTGTAGAAGAACAGACATCCTTCCAGAGGGTTTCCTTCATGATTTTGACCTTTCTGTCAAAGCTCATTGATTAAGGCAGTCCCCAAAGTCTGGTCATTAGCTACATCTTTCATTTTGTTTCCTAAGAAAGTGACAGCCACCAGAACACTGTCAGTTTTCCCACATTGTTATCCCTTATCCTAATCACATTGCACCCCAGAAACTTGCATATCCTTTCAAAACAAAGCTGGCTGCACAGATAAACTCCTCCAAGATTTAGAACCATTCATTATTTATTCCAGGTAGCAAATGAATGAGTTCTACCATTCAGTCAAATACCTGAATTCCAGAAATGCCAACTTTCATATGGGAGCTAAGAGAAGAGAACAGTCCTGTGCCCATCTCTGCGCTGTACTGAGGGTGGGATGAATCTCCCAAAACCACGACAGCTGCCATTACAGACATAGAAGTGCTGAGAAGAGAGGTTATTGCTTACCTCATTCCTCTCACTTTAACTTTCCTTAGAAACAGTTTGACATGTAACACCAGCATTATGCTAACCTCACCTTTGTTGTTACTTTCTCACCTGTTGCTATTAGCTCTCTGTTAGAGAAATAATCCACAGCTGCTGATGCCCACATGCAGAGTCAACACCCTCATGTTCCAAATTCTAAAAGGGCCCAACAAGTCTTGGGTTAAAGGGTTGTGTTGGTGCCACTGAGTGCTCTGGTCAAGAGTTATAAGCTGTTCTTTTGTTTCCACTGATAACTACTGGTATCTGAAATTTTCCCATGATGTTACAATCCAGAAGAGTAAGAGAAAGCAAATATGAAACTAAATGCAAATGCTATATAATTACATGATAATAACAATAATTTTATGTTCAGAAGGATAAGATTTGCTTAAATCAAACATGCTGTGCCAGAGATAAGCAGTAAATTAGACTTTAAAAATGTTTTCATTTTTAATAATCTAAAATGCTGTTAAATTACAGAGATAAAGCTATTATCAATATATATTTTATTTCCACAGTGTCCCTTTGTTCTTATCATTGTTCAATCACCTTGAACAGAGAGGGGTGAGGAGAAACCTTTTTGAAGAGTGGAATATATTCTCATTTTGACTTACAACAGAGGTTGCATGCCTCCTTGTTATGACCCCTACATAAAAGACTGACAAACATAAAAGTAGATAAACATCTAGTTTTTATGACAACAACAGTTCACCCCAAGTGTTACTCCCAATACTTCAAGCACTTATCCACATCCCCAAGAAGGCTGAGTGCAGCTTTCTTGTCTGTTACAACACAGCCAGTTAGATATTTTATCTTCTGGAATACTGTGAAGGTTTTACTTGTGAAATGTGCCACTGGAGCCGTAGTTCTCTCCTAAATGTATAATGATGTTCTATCTGGAGCTCAGGTGCAGAATAGTAACCTGAGGGTGCTGGTTGGCTGGCTTTTGTCAGATCAGGAATCCCTGGTCTATGCAAAAGCTCTGGGAAAGCCTTTTCTTACTCACCTCCAGAGAAGGACCTACAAAGTGATTTTAAAATTCACTGCACATACTGTGCTGCTGGCTATTGGCAGGCACCCTGGGAACTTCAGACGAATGGAACTTGCATTGCTGGTTTAGGCTACAGTGACCATGACTGCAGGTGAAAAGAGCACACAACAGTACATTGTGTAATGTTTCTGGGCAGCAGAATGGAAAACAGGATGGAAATCTTATTAAACATCCTGGAACAAGCCAGGGTAATCAAGACTGGTGCTGGATTGGATACCAGGAGCTGTAGAACTGCTCACAATGCAGTACTGACTGTGAGTAGCCAAGGTTTATAAGGAGTATAACTTTAGTTCAGTACAGAACTTGCAGCAATTTGTTCAGAAGATGAAAATGGAAGGTGCGCTGTAAAATGCTCATTGTCCAAACACACATTTTTCTCCTTTTTCACTGGAGGTATGCACACGTAACAAAACATGAAGCACTGTCTGTGCAGACATCATGTGCATCATAGCCAAGACCTTCAGCACTGAGAGCATGCACTTCTATATACCTGAGCTAAAGAAACAGCTGGTTGGATTTAGCATGCTCTTGGTCTTCCTTCAAGAGTAAAAAGAAACAACATCTCTGAAGGACAGTCTGGATGGAGGGGAAAGTCCTGACTTGATAGCAGCTGTTGAGAACAGCGTTTCTAAAGTTGCAACCTCCTGTCATCACCAGACCTGTTCTTTTTTATCCTCCTTTGTGTGGTCAAAAGGAGCTAGAAGGGGGAGAGAGGCTTGGGTTTCCCTTTGATGCTCTCCTGCATCTTCTGAACTCTTGGTGAGGTAATTGAGTGGAAGGGTTGGTATACCTCTCCTTTTCTCCCTCCTCATCTTTCTTGTCAGCCATCAGAATGAACAGAAACAACCAGATTCATATAAAGAACCTGCCTGGAGAGACCAACAAACCAGCTCTGCCCATTTTTCATGCCAGTGAAATAGTGCACACAACAGAAGGCACCATGGTGGCCCATGCATGGGAAGGGTCACCCATGCTTTCTTGATGTGGCCCTAGGTTTCCTCCTCCACCTCCAGAAAGGGAGGAGGAGGAAACAGGTTCATCACTTATTTTTTACCTTCTTGGGTTGGCTCTGCAATGGTCTGGGGAAGGGTGGCTCAGGAGACATGTTTTATGTTTATGGGTGCAGAAGAAAAAGCTGAAAGAAGTACTGATTTTCCCAGTAGATTTCTTCCCCTTATCTTACTGCTCCAGAGGGCCATTTCCCTCAAAAACAGCCAGCAAATGTCAGGTAGGAGATACGTTTGCCAGCCTGGGGAAAAAAAAGGTAACCAGGAACACTGCCTAGAAGTAGGGGATCTGAGAGGGGTTTGTGCCAAAAAGCACCAACATGGACAACAGTCATCTCTGCACCTACTTAGTAGCTGCCTCTAAGCAGTAGCTTTTTTTTTTTTAATCCCAAAGAAAAGCCATAGTAACACATTCATTTTCTGGATTCTCTTTGTTATTATTTTCAAGAGCAGGGCAGTCAGTCGAGCTCTTAAATTTGAATAATGAAAACTGGTAGTTGTAAGAACATCAGCACCTTTCAATTCCTTCACATGAATTAGAAACCTGATAATTACAAAAGGGATGTGGCTGAGTGGAGCTTGTTGCTGGTCTAAGAGATGAGAAGGTTGAGTTCTGGCTCTGCCTGCCTCACTGGGTGCAAGCAGGAAATTTGCCACATGGCAATCCAAGCCAAAATACAGAGGAGGCTGCTGGGATCAAGTGGGTGGGGGAAGAGATAAAAAGACAAAACTGTCCTAGTGGAGGGACATCACAGTATGGTGCTCCCTGCTCCTACATGAGCTCTCATGTCTGAGAGAGCAGCATTCTCCATGGATCAAGGAGCATGGGGATCCTGGGAGGAGAATCCAGCGTAGTTGCCACACTCCTCAGCTCAGTGTTGGAGTTCACAATCATTTTGCCAAGTAACTGTAGTAGCAGCCTTTTGAATAGGGTCTGAAGCTTCTCCTCCTCAGTAGTAGGGGTCTTCCCTCCCCTGCTTTGTCAGATGAAAAAAGAGAAAAGAGGGGAGAAACCATGGTGTGCGAAAGGGTGACTGAGGAAGAAACAGCACAAGAAAGAGGAGAATGTTACTAGAGGCCATAGTGGGCACAGCTCAGACCCTGGTATGTCTACAGGTTCGTGAGGTGCCTGAGGCTGAGGGAGTGGCAGAGGTGGAGGGAGACTCCTCGTCTGTTGTGTCCCCATGCTCCTCCTTGTGCAAGCCAAGGCTGATGTGGCTCTGCAGGGCTGCTGGGGTCAGCCACTCCTTGGGGAGGCAGCTCTGGAGGAAAGGGATGCAGGAGCTGAAGTAGGCCAGGCGGTTCACCCAGCGGGGGATCTCCTTCCCACACAGGATCTGTGGAGCAAACAAGGAAAGAACACAGTTAATATAGTACCAAAAGGCATCTGTAGTGGCAATGTTATTTCCATCTGCACCATCATCTCAGCAGGGTGAATTCCCCGTTGCTCTGATGAGAGCTGTTTGAATGCAGGGAGCATCTTCTGCAGCTAAAAACAGCTCTAAATGCAAATGACTGCACACAGTGACTTCTCAACATGCACACAGAGCTCTGCCAGCCATAGCCCTTATCAGCATCAGAGCGG